GAAGCCGTAAAGTGCTGGATTTAAGAGCTTAGAGAAATAATGTTACGCCAGCAGTGTCTCAGCATCTCCCCCTTCCCTTTATAAGATTCTCCGCTTGCTCCCGTCCCCCTCCTTCTTCAGCCTGCTACACCTCCTGCCTCAGCCTCACCTCCCACCTCACCTCACTCCCCAGGCTTGGCCCTCTCTCTCTTTCCCCAAGCTTGAATTCCACATAGTTACAGCCAGGAGATCAAAGCTGAGGCCCAGAGAGGGGAAGGGGCTTCCCCACAGGCCACGAAGCAAATGATATGAACTCGGATCTGAGGCTGAAGTCCAAGCACACGGGGACCCTCACAGAGGAAAAGAATGAAGACGCCACCATTCCCACCTCCTCAGCCGTTTGTCTCAAGTCCATCCAGGCAATTTAATGGTGGGATAACAATCCAAACTGCTCAGCCAGCTGCCCACAAGCTGGACGGACCTGTCACGAATCTGGGTGAACCCCGTGGCCACAGCACATCAAGGATGCAGCGAGGGCCTGAGAAGTGGGGATGGCACCGAAAGAAGAAGGTAAAAGGGACAAAAATCCAGTCTGTGCAGAAGGAGGATGGGTGGGCCCAGCTTGGAGGCTGTTCATACAGAAAGACCTAGGATTTTAAAAACACTCTCTGAAAGATAAGTACATTTCAGCACAAGCATCTGACTGGACTCTAGCACACGGGGGGTACGTAACCAATGTCTGTTAAAGTGAAATACGAGTCAACAAGGTGATAGAGCAACAAAGCAAAGCTAACACAGCCTTAGGTCATATTAACAGAAGCACAGAGTGTACAGTGAGGAAGGTGACCTATACCTCACCAGCTCCTATCCTAGGCTCAATCCTAGGTCCTGAACAGAACAGAGTCTGGACAAACCAAGATAATCCGGAGGATGGGAGTGGTACGGAGACCACATCCAAGAGCAGTGGCCGGAGGAGCAGGGTGCTCAGCCTAGGGATGAGCACTGCATGAACAGACCTGGTCACTGTCCCCAGGTCTCTGCAGGGCTCCTCCAGGACAGGACGACCAGGTGGGGCTGTGAGCCCAGAGGGAGGGGTTGGGACCTTGGGGAGTCAGCAGGGCAGATGCCAGCTCAATATGTAAAGGAATTTTCTAAAAATGAGAGCTGCTTTGAGTGGTCATGAGCACCCTGCCATGAGAGGTGGCAAGCGAAGGTGTGGCAGAGGTGGGCTTAGATGTCTTTAGGTCAGAACCAATTAGTCTCTCAAATAATAATCTCCAAAGCACAGGAGGAAAATATTAGCTCATTATTTCTACTTAAGTTTTAGCTAAAAGTAGTTAAGAGTATATAGCTCAGGGCTTCCCTGGTGGCGCAGTGGTTGAGAGTCTGCCTGCCGATGCAGGGGACACAGGTTCGTGCCCCGGTCCAGGAAGATCCCACATGCCGCAGAGCGGCTGGGCCCGTGAGCCATGGCTGCTGAGCCTGCGCTCCGCAACGGGAGAGGCCACAACAGTGAGAGGCCCGCGTACCGCAAAAAAAAAAAAAAAAAGAGTATGTAGCTCAACCCTGATGTGCACCCCTGGCCATATGTCAGACACCCAATGCCATGTCCATTAAGTGGGGTCTCCAGAGGCCAAAGGCAGCCCACAATGCAGACAGGTTTGCTATGCCCATGTCTTCTGTTCCTTTACATTCAGCCTACTGCTGTATACTGTAGTGTCCTGGTGGCGGGTTCGGTGGAGCTGAGGATCAAACAACACAGCTGTAACTGAATCAATCCCTGTAGTGTGGACAAGTGGCTTCTAAAAGTCCCTGCCAAGAAACCATGGATGGAGATAACGCTAATCGAGAAAGTGCAAGCCAGCGACAGGAAAAGTGTAGGACAAACCCACCACTGCTCCTAGTTCAAGCCCTACAACAGCCACCCTAACGTTGAAAACAATAAAGAATGGCATCTCACATACACATTATTGCTGACTGAAATCATAGAAAGAAAACTCCTTGAAAGGTGGACTTCTATCCACTACTGTTGGTGATGAAATTCACTCCGAATATATACTGGGCCTTGAGACATTAGTTAATTGTCACAGTACTTGTATATAATTTCTAAATCCACATATATATATATATATATATATACACACACACACACACACACATATATATACATATATAAAATGTTGTGGGTGCCGAAACATTTTTCTTTTTTTTTTTTAAATTAATTTATTTATTTTTGGCTGTGTTGGGTCTTCGTTTCTGTGCATGGGCTTTCTCTAGTTGCAGCGAGCCGGGGCCACTCTTCATCGCGGTGCGCGGGCCTCTCACTGTCGCGGCCTCTCGTTGCGGAGCACAGGCTCCAGACGCGCAGGCTCGGTAGTTGTGGCTCACGGGCCTAGCTGCTCCGCAGCATGTGGGATCCTCCCAGACCAGGGCTCGAACCCGTGTCTCCTGCATTGGCAGGCAGATTCTCAACCACTGCGCCACCAGGGAAGCCCTAAACATTTTTCTTGAGCAGAGAGTGACATCAAAAAGTGTGACGGGGCTTCCCTGGTGGTGCAGTGGTTGGGAGTCCGCCTGCCGATGCAGGGGACGCAGGTTTGTGCCCCGGTCTGGGAGGATCCCACATGCCGCGGAGCGGCTGGGCCCGCCAGAGTGGCTGGGCCCGTAAGCCATGGCCGCTGAGCCTGCGTGTCCGGAGCCTGTGCTCCACAACGGGAGAGGCCACAGCAGTGGGAGGCCTGCGTACCGCAAAAAAAAAAAAAAAAAGTGTGACAAACACTGCTCCGGATTCTTAGACCCAGCTAGACACTAGGGGGATGCTATTCCCTGTTTAGGTTTGGGGGTCTAATCAGATTTGTTTCGGATATAGAGACGAAGAAAAACCAGGAGGGAGTGTGCTCCTCAATAAACTTTTTTGAGGCCCCCAAAATGTTTGAAGAGGAATGGGAAGAAACCAAAAACTCTGAAAAGAATTTTCCCTGGCTCTGACTCTCCAAGGTGGGTGTCTCGTTAAACAGCCAGTGCCAGGCCAGGCTCCTCTTTCTCAGCGTCTCAGGCCAGTTTCTCTCTGTCTCTGTCTCTTCTAGCTCTCTTTTCCATCTTTTTCTCTTGGTCTCTCACATTCCCTCTCTCTCTCTCTCTCTCTCTCTCTCTCTCACACACACACACACACACACACACACACACACACACACAGAGACAATTGACAATAGCAAAAACCAGAAAGGAGGCACCCAGTGAAAGAGAAAGAGCTTTCTGGCTCTTGAATATCAGACAGACCTGGACTCAGTTCCTAGCTCTACCCACCACTGACTGTGAGATCACTGCAAGTCTCACCCATTCTGGGAGCCTCAGAATCCTCCCCTGGAATGGGCACGCCTACAACTCAACAATAATATGACATCCTAATTTTAAAATGGCCAAAGGATTTCAACAGACATTTCTCTAAAGAAGATGTACAAATGGTCAATAGCACATGGAAAGTTGCTCAGCATCATTAGTCATTACGGAAATGCAAATCAAAACCACAATGAGATACCACTTCATATGTGCTAGGATGGCTAAAATAAGAAATACAGACAATAAGAAGTTCTGAAGAGGACGTGGAAAATTTGGAGACTTAACGTATTGTCAGTGGGAATGTAATATGGTGCAGCCGCTTTGGAAAACAGTTTGAGCTCCTTACAATGTTAAACATAGTTTCACCATAAGACCTAGCAAGTCCTTAGTATTATATCCAAGAGAACTGACAACCTGTGTCCACACAAAGGCTTGTACATGAATGTTCACAGCAGCGTCATTCATAATAGCCAAAAAGTGGAAACCACCCAAATGTCCATCAACTGATGGATGGATAAACAAGATGTGATATAATCATACAGTACAATATTATTCACCCAAAACGAGGAATGAAGTGCTGACACACGCTAAAACATGCATAGACCTTGAAAACATTATGCTAAGTGAAAGAAGCCAGTCAGAAGAGATCCCCTATTGTATGACTGCATTTACATGAATTGTCCAGAATAATCAGATCCATAGAGACAGAAAGTGGATTAGCGGTTGCCAGGGAGAAGGGGACATGGTGAGTGACTGCTAAAGGGTATGGGGCTTATTTGGGGAGGATAAAAATGTGCTAAATTGGACAGTGGTGATGGTTCACAACTTGGTGAATAAACTGAAAACCACAGGCTTGTACACTTTAAAAGGGTGAACTTTATGGCATGTGAATGATATCTCCATAAGGTTATTTTCTTTAAAAAAAACCACAACTTCCCACATACAGCTGTTATGAAAGTGAAATGAGCGGTCCCTGGTCCTGGCATGTGGCCATTGTGAGCGATGTCTCCCTAAGAAGGTGGCCTGGTGAGGAGTTCAAGGAACAGGGACCCTAGCCTTTTAGAGGGCTGCACCAAGTTCTGGGAGATCCAGAGACAGGAGAGGGGTTCGTTATTACAGATCCGCTTGGCTTGGACTCCGAACAGGACACACACACACTCCTGACTTCACTTTTCTCTCAGTTTCTAAACAAACCAGGTCAAAATGATCAGCACAACCCCATAATCTTTCTTGTCCCCCATAAAAGGAAAATGGGTTGGCTTCCGGCCCAAAGGCTGCCTCTGAGGAGAGAAGCCGGGATGCTCTGAGCACAGGTGGGTCCTCCAGACTCGGGATGACGGCCTGGGGCACCGGGGTGGCTGGGGGCTCCCTCTAGGCCGCACCCTCCACCCCGTGAGCCTCTGACTTCAGCGGGTCTCCCAGCGCCTCCAGCTCTCTGTTCAGCACTTTTTCCCCAGAGATGCCTTTGAGCCCGAGGCCAGGGCAGCTTCTGGGGGGAACAGGAGGGCGGCTGCCTTCACTCGCCGGTCAAAGCGCAGAGGCCGGGCGTCTGTGAGGAAACACCCTCCAAAGCTGTAAGTCCCACGAGGGCAGAGTGGGAGAAGCCTTCCGAAGCTAGGGGGACCCTTCACCTCACGAACGGGACGGGTCGCCTGCGGGGGCGGGGCACGGGCTGGCTGGAGGCTCACAGCACCCCTGGAGAACTTCACCCTCCCCTGATTTTCCAGAGATGGAGACACAGGCGCTCACCCAGCTGGGAAGCCACTGAACTGGGACTCAAACCCAGGCCCGCAGGTAACCACAAAATGTCAGGCCTGTTGAAGAGCCTGTTCCTCCCCAGTTCTCTTAAAAATCACCCCCATCCCGCCTCTCACGCTCCGCGTGCCCCTTACCTGTGTTCCCGAGGCCGGTGTGGGCTGGAGGCTAGCGGCGCTCACACTCTGGGGGCGGGCGGGGCGGGGCCGGGAAGAGGGCAGAGAGGCGGGGCCGCCCCCATGACAGGCAGGGGCGGGACGTGACGTCGCCCTGGGCCCCACGCTCACCCGCCCACGCGCCCACGCTCAGCCGGGGGGCCCTCCTTCCTGCGGTGCTGTAGGCGCCCGGCCTTCCTGTCTGACTTGACTGCCCCCCAGATGTGCCAGGAGCCGGGGCCATGCCCTCTGACTTCAGGGGTGGTTACGTGGGGGCAGTCGTACCACCCTGACGGTGCCAGGCTCTGGGCGGGGAAGAGGTGGCGTGTCCCAGATGCTCCCCACCCGCCTGGGTGAGGCCGACTCAGGGCCCAGCCATGTGGGCCAACCGGATGCTCCCCCAGAGGAGTGAGGTGGGGCTGGCAGCATAAGAGGAGGCCCTGGGGCTCAGGGCTGGGTGGGGGGACTCCTGTGGGTGGGACTGGCAGTGCCCTCTCCTGGTGAGGAAACTGGGCAAAGGCTAGAACATCCACTGCCTTGTGGATCCCAACAGGGTAGGGGGTGGGGACTGACCTCTCAAAGCTGAGGCCGGTCCTCTCACTCACCTCTCAAACGTTCTGGAAGCAGGACAGTAAACAAGTCCTACACTGCCATGGGGAGCACCCTGAGGGAGACAGGCCACGACAGCCCCCATGCGGGCAAGGCCCAGGGAGTGATGGGTTCCCCGGAGGGCTTCCTGGAAGAGGAGTCATCTAAGCTCAGGAGTCATCCTTGGAGTCATCCTTGACCCTTTGCTCTCTCATACTCTGGTTCTGACCTATCTGGAAAACCCTGTTGTCCCCACCTTCAACATATTCTGAATCCAGCCTCTTTGTTCCATTGGCTTGGCAACCACCCTGGTCTGGCCACCACATCACTAGTCTCTATGCTCCTGTCTGTTCTCATCATGGCAACCAGAGGGATCTGGTTAAAACTCAAGTCAGCTCATGTCCCTGCTCTGCTCAGCACCCTCCCAGGGTTCACACCTCACTCACTCCCATATTTACACAGCCCTGTATGATGTGCCACTCACTCCTTGCTCTCTCTGATCTTGATTTCTATGACTTCCTCTCTCACTCTGCCCCAGCCACCCAGGAATGTGCCCCAAACACTCCAGTCAGGCTTCCTCCTCAGGGCCTTTGCACTGGCTGTTCCCTCTGCCTAGAATGCTTTTCCCTAGACAGCCACCTGGCTCCTTCCCTCACTTTTTCAGGTCTCTCTACTCAAATGTCACCTTCTCCAAGAAGCCTTCCCTGACACCCTGTATACAGTAGTAACCGCCTGCACCACCTTTCCCTCGCATCCTGCCTTACTGCTCACTGTCTGACACACCGTATATTTTCTTGTTATGCATATTTCCTTCTTATGTATTGGTTTGTTCCAGGATGTGGGACAGTGTCCAACACATAGTAGGTGCTCAATAAATTTTGTTGAATGAGTGACCTGAAAGGGTAGCCCAAGATGCGTTCCAAGGGTATTTGGGGCAGAGGGAACCAAGTGTGCAAAGGTTTAGAGGTAACAGGCACTACTGTGTTGAGGATCTGTGAATAATTCAGTACAGCAGGAGAGTGGGGGGCTTGGGGGCTGGAGGAGGGGAGAAGGGAAAGCAAGAGAGGCCTCAGAAGCCAGACCAAGGAGGCCGGACCTTATCATGAGGGTGACAGGGACACGATCAAATCTTACGTTTCAGGCAATGATTTGGCTGCCGTACTGTGGACTGGCAGGCAAGACATGAGGGGCAGGAACCTGGTAAGCATGAGCCGTGGCAGGGCAGCTGAGTACTAGGAACAAGGTCACTGCGCTGTCCAAAACAGTAGCCACCAGCCACGTGTGGTTATGGAGCCCTTGAAACGTGCTGGTCAGAACTGAGGTGTACTGTAAGTGTAAAATACACACTGGATTTCCAAGTCTTGGCACGAGAAAAAAGAATACACAATAGCTCCTTAATAACTTTTGTACTGATCACCTGTTAAAAAGATAATATTTGAATATAGTTGGGTTAAACTATATTATTAAAATTAGTTTCACCTGCTTCTTTTTGCTATTTTTAATGATGCTACTGGAAAATTTTTTTTAATTTTGTACACAGAGCTCACAATATATTTCTATTGGACGCTGTTGATTTAGAGGGTAGAATGGACAGGTAGAATGGACAGGGCTTGGTGGCTATGGACTGTGCAGGTGAGGGAGACCTTTGGTCTAATTGCAAGTCTCCTCTCCCCTCCAATTGCTCCTTTTTGATGAGATCATGCAGGCCAGAGGCATAGAGAATGAGCCACAGAGGAGAGCCAAGAGGGTTAGTTTTCATCGCAACATAAGCACACACACACAAGTCATATCTTCACAGTAAAAACTATCTAGAAATGAAATAGGTTGACAGAATAGGCAATGAGACCTCCATCCCTGGAAGAAGAAACTTGAGAACCACCATTAAACAAGGGAAAGGAAGTTGAACTAATTAGCTATTCTCAAAGTGTGGGTCCTGGACCAGCAGTATCAGCATCACCTGGAAACTAGAAATGCAAATTCTCGAGTCCCACCCTAGTCCTAATGAATCAGAAACTCTGGAGGTGGGACCGCAATTTGTATTTTAACAGCCCCCCCACCCCCACCCCGTGGTGATTCTAATGCTTGTACATGTTTAAGAACCACTGGTCTAAATAATACTTCCTACCACTTAAAGGTTTCAGTGACGGGCACATAGTAGGTGCTCATAAGACCCAGTCATGACCTTGTGTTTGCCTCCTTCTAGTCCCAGGTTAGGGTACTTCCCCTCTCTGAGCAAATAGGAGTTCACCTCCTGCAGCATCTGGCACAGGGTGGAGGCACAATCTCAGGGCATTTCCTACCTCTCTGCCATGGGCGGATCTCCAGGGCCACGACAGAGCTGCCAGAGGCGCAAGGCAGGTCCAGCTCAGCTCCATCCTGAGGTGACCTCACTGCCCTGCATGTGTGTGTGTATGTGTGTGGGGGGTGATTCATGGGGCAAAATCCCACCATCCTGTGGCCACAGCTGACAGCCCCAGGGAGCCAGCTCAGCAGCTGAGTGTGGCATCTGGCTTCCCTGCATTCTAGAACTGACAGCCAGGGGGGCCCCCCTGACTCAGCAGGCATGTGAATTCTGGAGGCAACAGTTACACAGCTTGGCCTCAGTCTCCACATCCATAAAAATGGGGAGACAGCAGTCCCAATCCATGGTGAGATTATTTGTATGAAGTACTCGGGGCAGTGCCTGGACACAGTCGGCCCTCCCCAGGCCTTGACACTCTTGTGATGAGGCCCTGGGATCCCTCAGGCTGATGGGAACTCCCCAGAGACTTCTTGGGTCTGAGAATGATACCCTGTGGGTGTAGAGGGCAAAGAATGTGCCCCTACTATGAGCACCCTGGAGCCTGGTTCTTGACATGAGTTTTTACTTACTCAGCAAATGGATGCCTCTGAGGGCAGGGCCTGTCTTAACCACATTAAAACATTTATTAAATGAATGCTCTAAATCAGGGACTATCACCCATTTCATGGATGAGAAAAGTGAGAATCAGAGGGGTGAATGATTGCTCAAGGTGATGTAACTGGGATGTGGCTAAGTCAGGACTTGAATCCCGGTTTCCTTGACTTCAAAGGCAGGACTTTTTTCACCCCTCCATGGAGAAACTCCAACCTAACCTCATTTAGAAGCCCCTGTATGTGTCATTTAAATCCATGTTTGAAGAGGTAGCCTCTGGCCTAGATTGGACTCTTTGCCACTCCATATTCTTTGGGAAACAATGGCTGTATCTGATGCAATTTGAGATGGAGTTTAAAATATTCCTAAATCTAGATTAAGCCTGACTCACCCTGGGCCTCTGGATCTCAGTGGTTTCAACTGTTGGTTCTAAGGAAAACCTCTGCAGCTGAAGGCAGAAGTTGGACCTGGTCACCCTGAAAGTCCTCTGACTCTCAGATGCCAGTGCCTCAATGCCTCTTCTAAAGAACAAGGACTAAAGTTAAATTCTTTTTAAAAAGGGGGGGTGGCGGGGAAAAGGTCAACCCTAGCTCATTCTGACAAATGCAAAATGAGGGTTCAGACTCAATTTAAGTGGCTTTCAAACTTCCTTTTTCTTTTTTTAAGCAGAAAGATCCTTTTAACAAATAAAATTTAAGACGTTCTAGAGGATCAGAATGGACTTCTTTCTAGTTCAAGTGGGGATCTTGGGGCTATTGATGGAAGCACTGCTCAGCATCACCTTGCAGGCAGCCACTGGAGTGCCCACTGAGAACCCAAAGCCTCCAGGGAACCCAGTTTGACAACCACTGGAGGGCAGCAACGCAAACTATCCCTGGAAATCTCTTTGAGAGGGACAAATAGGTCCAGAAAATATTCCCTTTGGTTTCTAGGGGAAACTACCTCTGCTTGACCACATTTACTTAAAATTAAACTTTTTGAGATAATTATTTGAGATCACCACATGCAGTTTTAAGAAAGAACACAGAGACCCCCATGGACTCTTTCCCAAGCTTCACCCAATGGGAACATCTTGGAAAACTATAGTACAATTTCCCAACCACGATATTGATACTGATACCATCAAAATACAGAACATTTCCATCACCACAAGGACCCCTCATGCTGCCCTTTTATAGGCACACCCACTTTCCTTCTCACTCCTCCCCTCCCTGATCCCCGGCAACCACTAATCTCTTCTCTATTTCTATAGTTTTATTTCAAGAAAGTTATGGGAAAGGAACCATACCGTTTGTAACCTTTTGCAATTGGCTTTTTTCACTCAGCGTTAATTCTCTGTAGATTCATCCAGGTTGTTGTATCAGCAGCCTGTTCCTTCTCATTGCTGAGTAATACTCCATGGTACACAGGTAGGGCCCATCCCACCCAGGGCTGCTGGACCCGGTACAGAGGTTAACAGGGAACCTGGCCTCATCTTGAGGGCCTACTGTGAGCTAGCTTGAGTCCAGCACACAGCGGGAGGTTTTAAGAAGGGGTAGGATGCATTCCTGTCTCCATGCCCCTTATAGCCCATCCAGGAAGCAAAACATGTGAAGTGCCACAGTTGTGGAATTCAGAGCCAAGTGAATTTCGTGAACACGCTTCTAACAAGCTAATTGCCAACAGACATCTTTGACACGATCTGGGAAACCTGAATATGGACTAAATATTCGATTACTTATGGGTTTTTGTTATTTTTGTTAGGTGTGACGCTGGCACAGCAGTTATGTAAAAATACCAGCCGTTGGCGTGGCAGGCTGAAGCGATTGCCGGTGACGGGACATTGCGTTTGGCATTGGCTTTAAGCACTCCAGCCTCGGGAAAAATGGGGGAGGGGGAGAGAGGAAGCACGACTGACCAACATTGACAGTAGCGGAAGCTGGGTGATTCGTACGTTGGAATTCATTATATTGTTCTTCCTACTTCTGTGTACGTTAGGATATTTCCATTTAAAAAAAGTCTTGGAGCATGCTGTGTTACTGGACTTACATTCCACATCTGGAGAGAGGCGGTCTTGTCCTACCATAGTGTCTGGACTGTGGTTTCCATTGTTTTGCTTGAAGCCAGTATTTAGCGACCAGACACCAGGAGACTCCTGGCTGGAACTGCTGTTGTGGAATCTCCCACTTTGGATTGTATCAGCCTTGGTCATCCCGTTCTAGTGCTGTCTGGTTTGCAAGTATAGTTCTGTTCTTGAGGAGGTGTCACGAATCTCTGTAAATAAATGTGTGAGTTGTTAACCTTTATGATGAATAGAAAGAATGGAAGAAAAAGAGGGAGGGAGAAAAGAAGAAGGGAGGAAGGAAGTAGGGAGGGAGGGAGATTTTTTAAAAGGCTCTTGAGAGCATCTTGAGATGCAAGACCCAAATGTTTGAAACGGGCTCACCTGTGCTGGAAGGACCCAGAGCCTTCAGCTTGGGAATTCTCCTAAAAGCTTGGGCAGTGACTCACCTGTGAGCGATGTCTGACCGGACTCAAGCCTGGGCAGATGTCACAGGACGCATCTGTCCTGTAGGCGTGAGGGGCAGACCCAGGGCACCTGATGATGGAGCCTGAGATTGTGAGTATACAGGCATTCGTGTCTGGAACACTGGCCCGGTTCTCTGCCTGGGGGATGTACTGCTCCTCAAGGCCTGGCTCACACGTCCCATCCCTCTCCTCTGTGTCCCCACAATCCTTCCCTCGACCATCATACATCAGCATATGTCTCCCCTACAAGGTGTAACGATAATAAAAACAACCAATAGCTACCATTTGCTGCAGGTTTGCCATGTGCCAGGCATTCTGCCAAGAGCGTTGCCTTATTGGGTGGGTGCTATTATTTCCATTTTATAGATGTGGAAACTGAGGCTCAGAGGGACTGAGTCACTAGCCCGAGGCCCCACAGCTAGAGGTGACTCAAATTCAGCTCTGTCTTCTCACTAAGTAGTTGTTCTTAACCACATCCCTGATCAGCTTTCCTCTATACCCCCCTGTGCTTAGCACACGGCCTGGCTCTTTGGTAAACGCTGACAGGAATACTCACTGCTTGGATCCTTGGCTCCCCCCACAGGCTGGGGGGCTGTCACCCTCTCCCAGCAACCTGCCTGCCTCGTTCACTCCTAAAAGATGTGATAGAACAAGAGTTCAAACTTGTTTGCTTCAAGCCACAAAAATCTTTCTCCATCCCAGAAAGAAGTGGTTTAGTATTACGAATAGCCCTCAAGTGGTTCAGTATTTTAAATAGCTGGGAGACCTCAATTTGAGTGCTGGCTCTAGCTGTGTGACCTCAGCCAAATCACTTAACCTCTCTGAGTCTCAGCTTCTTCATAGGTCAAATGGAGAAATCACCTGCCCCACACAGACAGCACCTGAGAGTACTAAGCAAGTGTTCCTTTTTTAGTTCTCCAGGAGGAGGCCAAAGGATTCCTTTAGTGCCCCCTGAGGTGGACTGGCATCTCACAACTTGGAATACCAGGAGATGGGCAGAAGCCCTTGCTGAGGTCCAGACAGAAGAAGTGGGACCCAGAGGGAGCAGCCCAGCCTCTCACACGGCCGAGTGAGATGACTCCTGGGGCAGGGGCTGTTTCTGGGGGGGAAGGGAGTGGTTCTGCTGCCTGGGCCTTCTCCTCAGGCAACACCTCAAGCCCTGGCCATGTACGAATGGGGAGAAGCATTTGCCAACAAATTCCATCTTCAGACCCCTGTGGGGCACCTCCTGGGGGGAGGGTCCAGGAATGAACCAGTCCTGCCCCCCATGCTAGGGGTATAGCAGGCACATGGCCACCGGAATAAAGACTACATTTCCCAGTGCCCTAATAGCTAGGGGTGGCCAATGGGTTGTAAGTGAAGTATCAGCTTCTGAGAACTTTCCTTAAAACACATCTGGCAAATTGCCCCTTTTCTCTTCTCCTCAATCCAACTAGATGGAACGTCAGTGTGTGACAGGAGTCACAGTAGCAATATTTGACTATAAGATGATCTTGGGCAGTTTAGTTATAGTGAGAGCAGGAATCTAAACAGCAACAGGATAAGCCAGAAAACAAGGAACAATGTCTTCAAAGTGCTGAAAGAAAACATCAACTTAAAATCCTAAATCCACCTAAATATTTAAGAGCAAAGGCTTAATAAAGACATTGTCAGGCAAAAAACTGACAAAGTTTATCATTCCCAGATTCTTGCTCAAAGAACTTTCCTCATTCCCTAGATGAGGAAAAAAGAAATTGAATATGGAAGTAAAGAATCAAAGAAGGAATTGCTGGGCTTCCCTGGTGGCGCAGTAGTTGAGAGTCCGCCTGCCGGTGCAGGGGACGTGGGTTCGTGCCCCGGTCCGGGAGGATCCCACATGCCACGGAGCGGCTGGGCCTGTGAGCCATGGCCGCTGAGCCTGCGCGCCCGAAGCCTGTGCTCCGCGACGGGAGAGGCCATGGCAGTGAGAGGCCCGCGAACCGCAAAAGAAGAGAAGGAATTGTTAGCAAAGAAATTGGTAAACATAGGTAAATCTAAGTAAGTGCTCTCTAAAATAATAATAAACAACTCGAGATGTATAAACAAAAGGTAGAATCCAAATTCATATTAAACAATAATACATATCAGACTGGAAATATTACAGTTAAAGCATTCTAAGATCCTCATATTATTCAGGAGGAGGGTAGAGGTATTGATTAACTTACAAATTAAATTAAGTTATAAATGATTTAAATTACAAGTTTAAATTATTTTTAATAAATTATAAATTTAAATGTAATTTTTAAAAATTAATTTGTTGGTCTTCCCTGGTGGCGCAGTGGTTGAGAGTCCGCCTGCCGATACAGGGGATGCAGGTTCGTGCCCCGGTCCGGGAAGATCCCACATGCCACAGAGCGGCTAGGCCCGTGAGCCATGGCCGCTGAGCCTGCGCGTCCGGAGCCTGTGCTCCACAACGGGAGAGGCCACAACAGTGAGAGGCCCGCGTACCGCAAAAAAATAAATAAATAAAATAAATAATCAAGTTGTACTCTTAGGATTTTTGCACTTTGATGTATGTATGGTAGATTTCAATTTAAAAAAAACATTTTTAAACCTTTAAAAAAAGAAGAATATAAGTGAGGATAAAAGTCGACGAACCATATCAGTAATCACGACAAATATAAATGGAGCAGACTTGCCACTTCAACAAATTGGACTTAAAAAAATTTAATCTAGCCATCTCAGCTCACTGTAGCAAAGGTAAATTATTTTTTTTAAGGTAAATTATTTTAAACTTCTAATTTTGATACAAATTATCAACTCAAATAAAGTGGCAGAAATAATACATAGAGTCCCATGTACCCTTCACCCAGGTTCTCCCAATGGTGACATCTTATATAACTGTACTACAATATCAAAGCCAGGAAATTGACACTGATACAGTACCATTAACTAGACTATCAGCCTTACTCCATTTTCACCATTTTTTACATGCATTCATTTGTATGCACAGTTTCTAAGCATTTTAGCTCATGTATAGATTCATATAACCACCACCATCATCAAGATACAGAGCTGATACACCACCACAAGGAAATTACTTTGTGCTATAAACCTTTATATTTGTGGACATTTTAATAAATGATGCTGAGGCAACTGGGTAACCATTTGGAAAAAGTAAAATTAGATCCATATCTCCTACCATACAGAAGAATAACATATTTTTTAATTGCATGGCAAAAATCATCATAAAGTCAAAGACAACTGACAAACTGGGATAAAACGTTTGCAAAATATACCATATATAAATATACCACATATAAAGAAGACTTCACGATTGAGGACAGGACTTCCAGTTTTGACACCAACACACAAAGAGCTTGGAAGCCATCATTCCCATCCTTGCAACAAGAAAAGGCTGAACAAACTGAAAATCAACAACTTTTCTTAGACCCAACTGAGAAGTGAGGTCGAAGGGCAAACACCACCCCAAAATTTAAAGAGGCAGGAGAATCTAGAAAGTTACAGCTGAGATCTGCTTCCCTATAGCAAAAGCCACTGGAGCCATAAGCTGGTAGGAACACTTTTATGGCAATTTTGACAAACTGAGGGAGGCTGACTGGGAACTAGCGGGAGAGTGAGAAACTCCTGGGGCCACAGCCTTAAGGGAGCCCCCCACACTTTTGTGGGTTTTACCTCCAGGCACCTCACTAAGTTCTCATAATGAAGAGAGCTCCCCTCTGAGTTCTGAGAAGGGGAGGCAAAGAGTAACCTCTGCGAAATACACCCAGAGTGTTCTCCATAACAAAGGCCTACTCTGCAGGAAAAAAGTCTTTACAAATCCTTATCCCACCTGTTTTTGGTGATTATAAATAAAGCTGCTATGAACATTTATGTACAAGTATTAGTGTGAATGTATGCTTTCATTTTTCTTGGATAAATACCTCTGAGTGTAATTGCTGGGTCATATGATAAGCATACTTTATAAGAAACTGCCAAACTGTTTTCTAGAGTGGCTGTGTCATTATTTATTCTATTTCTGTAACATACCCAAATCTGTCCATTTCTTCCCACCTTCACCACTACTCCCCTCATGCAGGCCCCATCACACTTGACTGCACGACTGCTCAGCAGTCACAGGGGTCTTTCCAAAACACCAATCATGTCACCTCCTTGCTTAATGCCCTTCAGTGGCTCCCTAGAGATTTGACATAAAATCCTAACTAACTCCTCAGCTTGGCCTGAAAGGCTGCAAATGATCTGGCTCCTGCCCACCTCTCTGACCTCACTTCCTCCTATACTTGTTCGTACCTCAGGACCTTTGCACTTGCTGTTCTCTCTGTCTGAGGAGCTCTTCCTGCAAAACTTTGCCCAGCTGCCTCCTTTCCTCTGTTCAGGCCTTAGCCCAAATGTCTCTTCCTGAAAAAAGGCCCTCCCTGAGTAACATGGCTAAAGTTGCCCCTTCACACCCAGGCACTCTCTATGCTCTCACCCTCTTTTGTTTTCTGTATAGCTCTTATTTTCCTTATCTAATCACTTACTTCCTTAATGCTCACATCCTCCATTAGAATGTATGGTCCCCAAGGGGCAGAGGCTGTGTGTGTCTAGTCCCCTGCTGTGTCCCTACTGTCCAGAAATGCACTGTCCACTATGGTAGCCACTAGCTGTAGGTGGCTCTTTAAAGTTAATTAAAAGTAAATAGAAATAAGTATTCCATTCCTCAATCATACTAAGTCACATTTAATTTAAGCCACATTTCAAGTGCTCCATAGCCACATGTGACTGATGGTCACCATAATGGACAGTGCAGATGTATAAAATCTCCAACATTGCAGAAAGTTCTGTTGGACAGTGCTACTCTAGAGCCCAGGAACCCATAATAACTGGTACCCAAGAAGTGTGTTATAAAATAAAGATTAATTTTATCCCTATCTTATGAGTGAGAAGAACATAGCTCAGAGAGGTTGTGTCATTATCCCAAGTCCACACAGCCAGGAAGCAGCCTGGCAGGGATTTGAATCCAGGGTTGTCTTGCACATGCGACTCACTTTCCCAAGAGCCAGCAGCCTCCTGGCTGTTTGGAGAAATTCTGCCACTCTCCTCGTCCTCCTACAGATTCTCCCACCCTGAGCTTGTACCTACCTGGGGAGAAACTGTGCACAGCTTCATTCTGGGTAAGAACTGTTGCCCAGTCTGGGGTCAGTCCTGATTCCATCCCAGATTCACTGGCAGTGTGACCTGCAGCAAGTCCCTTTGCCTCTCTGGGCCTCAGCTGTGTAGCTATAAAATGAGGAAACTGGCCGTGATGTCCTGAGGGTTGGAGGTGGCAGGCAAGAGGCCTGGGGCGATAGGGTACACTCCATATCCTGTCTGGCTTTGGGGTGGACCGCATGCGGAGCAGGGTGGGGGTGGAAGTGCTTTGGTTGGCTTGACCTACAATAGCAGCTCCTGTTCCTTGAATGCCTACAGATGAGAAAGCTGAGGCTTACAGAGGTCAAGTAACTTGGCTAAGGCCTCACAGCAGCAGAACTGACGGAGGTGGGGTTCGAACCTGAGACTCTCTGTTACCATGCCTGTGTCTCGCGAGCAGGGTTGAGGCCCACAGGAATCATAGGGAGAGGCTGTCCGGTGATAGGTGGTGAGCTTCACGTCTGTGGGAGTGTGCAAGCCGGTGATGGGCCGTCTGCAGGGCTGGCGCCAAGCCGAGACCACAGAGCTACTGGCGGGCCCCTCCCGCCAACCGCCTCCCGCCTCCCGCCTCCCGCCAACCGCCTCCCGTCTCCCGCCTCCCGCCTCCCGCCTCCCGCAGCGGCGGCCAAGGCAGAGGCGAGCGCTGCGCCGCGGGGCGGGGCGGGGCGGGGCGGGGGCGGCTATTTCTGTTAGCTGAGCACAGCCCGCGTGCGGCGGGGGAGGGGGCCGCGCCGCCATATTCCTTCCCGTCGGCGGCCCCGCGGCGCAGCCACCATGAGCACCGCCGCCTTCCACATCTCCAGCCTCCTGGAGAAGATGACGTCCAGCGACAAGGACTTCAGGTGCGCCCGCTGCCCGGCCCCCGCCTCTCCGCCCCGCCCTGAACCCCCGGCCTTCCCCTCCCGGAGCGCCGGCCCTCCCCCGGG